GCAGCTCACCGCTCCCCAGGGGATGGGTCAAATGCGGAAAACAAATTTCACACTGTTACGTCCCCGACATGAGATGTTAAAAGTGTGAAGGATGGGGAGAACATAAGAACTGGTGGAGGAGTTTAAAATGGGTTTATTTGTACAAAAGGTATTAAAACACGAGCAAAACTGATTTCTCTAAAAGGTTAACAGTACAAAGCAAATTATCAACTATAAAACACCTGGTAAAAACTTATGTTAAAAATTTTACCGCAACGAAGGTGTTTTAAAATCCTGAAGTTGATAAAAGTTCAAAACAATCCCCTGACTAAATACACCTGGTAAAAACTTATCTTAAAAGCTTTACCAACACAAACGGTGTTAAAACTGAAGTCAGGAAAATTGGCACAAACAAAGTTAACCTTAAAAACCGAACATACAAAAGATCCCACTGGATCATTCACAATTTCTCCTCAAGAGTTAAAAACTACAAAAGTTCCAAAACTCAAACAAATCCAAACAAACAGGGGTTAAAACTACACAAAACCAGGAGAATATCAGAACCCCTGCACTGCTGCCTCCCAGACTACTGAAGGCACAGCCCTTTTATACAGGTGATGGCAATCAGTGAAGATTCCTTGCAGCTGTGCTCCTCAGCAGCCCGGGAGAGAGGAGGAGGAGGGGCAGTGTCAGGCTGATTCAGCAGGACTTGGTGATTCTGCTGCTTCTCTCCACTGGTCAGGCTGGCAGCCGTAACACACACACACATCAGTGTGTGTGACAACTAATGGGACTTTAACTTTAATCCACCATTTTTGGACGCTAATTAGCAACGACAAGTCTTCCATGGTATAGTTTTTATTTCCAGACATAATTAAGTTAATTGGAAATTATATTAAAAAAAAAGTTGTATTCTGTTATTATTTATTTAAGATAAATTGGAATTGGACAAAACCAGCATCAGTGGGTCAAAAAAATCAGAAAGAGAACCACTAACTGGTACTGGCCAATCAAGGATTCCCTCCCGAATGTGTATATATGAAATTATCCTGCAATAGGCTTTTCTGTGTTAATAATACATGAAAAAGAATATTTGCAGTGATAGATAAAAACTCATTAAAGACACAGGCTTTAGAACGTGTGAGTCTGTAAGGTCTTCTATGTCTTTGGTCAAGAATGACTGAAGAATCTTGAAACTCCCTATGGAGCTCCGGACCCCACGTGACTCTCAGTTAGTGGACGCCATATTGGCAGGAAAAAAAGGTAAACAAACACGGATCGTAAACATGAACATGAACGGGATCGGCTTGGATTTTACTTTGTCGGAGTTTACTTCACACTTTAAAACCGAAGAAATCGTTTTGTATATAGTATAGTCAGAAATTAAATAGACTAAACATCTTTGACCCTTACCGTGCCCCTGGGATACTTTTTAAAAACGCCAGAAGCTGTCGGAGCGGACTTCTTACCGGTCCTGGCCGGGGAACCCCTTGGAATTTCCCCGGAGGAGCTGGCCCAAGTGGCTGGGGAGAGGGAAGTCTGGGCTTCTCGACGCTACTGCCCCCGTAACCCGACTCCGGATAAGCGGAAGAAAATGGATGGATGGACAAATAACAGATTTACACGTAAGTAGTTTAAATAGAGTGCTGTGCTGTTTGAATGTATAAACTGAACACCAAGAGAAATCACTAGTCTGATTTTTTCCGTGAATAAAATAAATGTCAGGCAGGAGCGTCTCAGGATCTGTCTGAGATCTGTGTCGGTGAGACAGATAATAGCAATCCAAAGTGCTTTTTATGTGTGATCTGACAATTGATCAACCATTGCTTAAAAATGAAATACAGCTTAGCCGGTTAATTGCTGTGATCATAAAACACGTAAACGGCAGCACACAGAAATCACGAGGTAACGTTTTACGTGATGTTTACCCAAAGCTATGAGTAATAAGACAGAAAAAGCCACGCCAAAATAAGTTTAGGAAGCCCACTAAGAATCGTAATAAAAGCATTTAAAATAAATACGAAACGTTGGTTTAAGTACCTGATACGAAGTGGTCGCTGCATAAGCGAAAACCTTTACTCTCGGGATCCCACAGTTTCATTTTAGCCCGGTCACTAGTGCGTTTTATTACAATGATCCAACGTTTGCGGCGCTCCGGATCTTGGGGAATCCTGTAGATGGCTCATTCCTTATGTCGTCCGTGTCTGTTCTGCATCCTGGGGCACAACAGGAATCTACCATATTTTCAGTTTGATTGAGTTTTCTGACAAATAGTCCAGCTGCCAGCTTCTGCATGCCAATATGGCGCCGTTTCGATTTGAACTGTTGCATGCTGGAAGAAGTGACGGCAACTCCCGGAGCTCTATGCACATGCATGTGTGCGTGTGTGTGTGTGTGTGTGTGTGTGTGTGTGTGTGTGTGTGTGTGTGTGTGTGTGTGTGTGTGTGTGTGTGTGTGTGTGTGTGTGTGTGTGTGTGTGGATGAATAAGCCACCCACCCCATCAGACTGCCAAGTGACTCACACAAATGTGGAACTGGGTTTTTGTGCAGAAGTGTTTAATGTGTGTGAGCCAGAGGGTATGCATGCTAATGAGTTTTGTGTGTTTGTGTGGAAGGTGTATAATTATCTCAGCGTGTGTTTGTGCCATGTTTTGGAAGTCCCAGTATTTTCCACATGGAGATACATACACACAGAAGAGCACGAGAAGTAAAGTTAGTGTCAGAACAAAGCTATTCAAATAAAGAGAAAGAGAAAAACAATCTTCTTTTGGCCAAAATAACTTTTACAGCAATGACCTAAAGTAAACTAATCCTAGGGTTGAATGACAAATTGGTCCAAATTTTAAAAAGTATGCAAACAAAGTGTTTTTATTACTTTAAGATGCACAATGAACGGTAATTTATTTATAAATTTTTATTCACATAAGTGCAAATGAGACAGGGGTTTCCTTTTTTAATTAAAATAATTAATTATCTTTATTGAAGAAAAGCTCAATTTCTTGTTTTGAGAACTGGAATTAGTTAGGGTAACCCTAAAACCTATAAACTTAACTTCACTGAACATTTTAACCAATACTGTGGCAACACTGCACTTGAAGAATTTTGCCAGTTTGAAAGCTGAAAAAAGTTTACTTATGGGATCCGTAGTACATTGACCGCGAGACATAAGTAGAATTTAATACTTTACGATTTAATACTTTTTTATTCACAGAAAGATAGCTTTCATGAAAAAGCGCAGCAAACCTCCAAGCGCCGCAAACCTTCACACAAACTCTGTGTGAGCTTCAGGTCGCTGGTGTTCCACAGAGTTAGCTCCGGTTGTAGCTAGGTAGCTACCTCCATTAGCTTAGCTCCCACCTCCGCGTTAGCTTTGGGTTAGCTTGTAGCTAGTTCGACCGGTTGTCGTCATTTGATCCCAGCCTTACAGCCCCACCCTCAGCTTCACCTCTCTTCCCTTTTATGGAATTGTCTGGGCTTGACGGAACCTGTGACACGATCAAAATGGCGGTGGTAGCCACCTCCCATTTCTCTTCGAAAACGTGTTATTGGAGTCTATGGAAACCCATTGTCCATATATGTATATGTCGATGGTTGCACAATGAACAACACACCACTCCAGCGTTGTCACTTTCACACACATTTATTTCTCAGGACTGATCAGCAACACAGCTCTTCCTCGCAGCTGGATCCGAGCCGGTGATTCTCCCCCGCGGCTTCTCGTCCGCGCAGTCGCACATAATTATATAAAAAAGGCACATGAGTCATTAGATGGCTAAAGAGTCTTTGTTTCTGGACACCCAGGGCAGATCGTTTACCTTTTTATTCTGTCACAAGACTTTACCTGCCACAACTAGAGTGCTTTATTCACTAGAACTGGCTGTTAGCCACAATCAGCATATTTTATTAGCTAGACAACTGTAAAATTTAATGTGTACTATCCTTTTGTCTACTTGTGCAGCCAACAGCTCTACAAGTGTTAACCATGCTAATAGATGTAATTTCACTACTATTTAACTCTGCTTATTGTCAACTAACAAATAAACAAAACAGTGGTCTACGGGCAGGTGCCGGGTTCTTGTCCTCCAGCCTGGGGCTGGGGGGCGGGTGTGTGGGCGAGTGAGGTCACACTTCAATGGGTCTATAAGCTAGATTGGTTGGTGCCCCCAGGTCACTTGCCCTACGCACAGAGCATGATGCATGTGGACAGAGCACCGGTGCTGTTTACAAGTCCAGTTGCAACAAAGCCAGGTCACCATCAGTCCATGATTACATAGCCTCCTTCTGCCCCCTCAAACTAGTGTAGCCACACACATGTCGACTCTGGTTTCAGCTTTTAGCTTCACCTTAAAAGACAATACTCTCTTGCTTTTTCTTGCAGGCTCTGCCATGACGCCAACAAAAAGTTAAATTCTTCTTTTTCTTCTTCTTATGTTTTTTTATTGACGGTGAAAAAGCTAGCCTTTAAATTAGCTATCGGCAGAGTAAACAGCCATAAAGCCATAAACAGAAAAATTGAGTTGCCAGCTTTTTATTGATCTCTGTTAACATAATCTAACTTATAATTTATGTCTTCCTTCTGAGGGAAATTACAGCCTTTAGGTTGCCCTAACAAGCATTAGGCAAGAGAAGAGAAGGTGTGATTTGTGCGTTCGCTCACACTAATAGAGAAATCATTATTATTTAAAGACTGAGACTTTTTCGTTTGAATTGAGATACAAAAACATCTTCAGAAATCAAGAAAATGTCCCGTATTCATTTGAACTCACTAGGATCACGCTACATGGTCAGAGATTCAAAACAACCACAGGTAACACCAAAAAGGTGATTTTTTTATACCATTTGACTGCCATGTTAATGGATCACAATCTGTTTCTCATCTTCTTGTTTTGACACCAGAGCTAATTTCTTGGGGCTAAAAAGTCTAACTGCTTGGTTAGGTTTAGGAAACCACTAGAGGTGAGGTTTTTTTCCTGTGAAAAGTAAAAAAAATAAAAAATTATAATAACACAACATACAAAAAATGGTGTGTTTGTTTTATTATAAAAATGTAAAAGCCAGCAATTACAAACATTTTAAAGGAAGCCGATTTGCATATTTACATGATTTCATTGTATATAAACAGTGTGTACAAAAAGGGAAGAGATGTTGCTACAAATGGACCGGGTCCTCTGAAGTCGTCTTTGTTTTATCTACAGAAAGATGCTTTCAGAAGAAGTAACTCTATACAACATTTACAACAAGAGCACAGCACATCTTACAATTCCCATAAAATATGCATGTCAACAAAATGATTGGCTAATTATTTTGGCTTTTAGTTTATCCTTAAGTCAAAAACACACAGAGATTGGTGATATAATTTGCCAAAAACATTCCAGCGAAAGTCAAAATTTAAAATATAAAAACCTGAAAGTAACATGAGTTTCTGTGAACTAATGTTTTTAGATGACAGTGAAGAATATGCACACTTCAAGGTTTCCATATCGGTTTCAGAAATAAATAAATTGTCTTTCGGTTTCCTCCCTGCCATGCTCGCCTCTCACACTCCAGCTGTAATACAGTACTTCAAAATGAGGTTGTTGGTTTCACATGGCACAATATCAGAAATCAACATGCAGTCACAGCGCTCTCAGTGTCACAGCGAATGTAAAGCAATGCAGTGAATTTGGTGCGAAGGAAGGAAGACATCATGTAAGCAATCTGAAAAGTTGCATGTTGCTCTTGAATTTCTGCAGCAGCAGGGGACGTAACAAAAAGCTGTACAACTAGGGACAGATTTTAGTGTTACACAGCATGGTCAGATGCAAAGTCATACTGAACGGTATGGCTTGGGTAAGAGCCCTTTGTGGTGGTTTTTCATTTCTTGATGAGTATTTTCTATTGCTGTGGTGTAAAAACTCATTTCACATTCTGACTGTGACTGGGATTCTGGCCTACATATTGATGCTGTTGGTACCATGCAAGAAACAAGTGACTAAAGACATTTAATTATCACTCTCCACTTTAGGGACATTCGTGTCGAAGACTTTGTAAAAAAAATAAAATAAAATACGAGGAATTTGTTTGGTCCAGTCTGGTCAAAGCAAGCAGGCATTTAAAGCTGATTTGATTCTGTGTAGACTTGAGGTGAAGTGATTTGAAACATGCAAACCAGGACTGAATCACAACTCCCTTTGGTCCGGGCTAACACTGAATCCAAAACTTTAACCAACAAACAAACAAACCGACGATTTACACAACAAGCAAAGCACGAACAACTGCATCATGGTGTTTCGTTAGCATTTTGGTATTGTTATGCACAAAAGCTCAGTGAAGTGGAACTAACCCTGGTATTAATGGAAATGGGGGTAATAAGCAGGTGGGTTGTAATACTTGTAGTCGTAACTATTGCACAATCAAAATGTTACACTTCAAAAGCCTCCCAATGAGATTTTTTACTGCCCTTTATGGTGAAAAAGATGGTCGTTGAATCTGTGGGTAATGTTTTACCATTTAAAAGGTAAGAAATTATTCCACGAACCAATTTTTGCTCAACATTGTAGATCAGGGGTGGGGAACCCTGGTCCATCAAGGGCCGCTATCCAGCACATTTTAGGCCTAGTCCACACGTAGCCGGGTTTTTTTTAAAACGAATATCCGCCCCTCCAAAAACTTGCATCCACACCACCTCGTTTTTTAAAAAAAACTCTGTCCACACGTACCCGGATAAATACGTTGTTAAGGACATGCCAGACCTGTAGGCGGCAGTACTTCCCCCCGTTCTTAACCTCGTCCTTCGTCTGTGGTCTTCCGCAAGGAGCAGTAATTCCGCTTGCAAAAACAAACAAGCAAAAAGCGCTTGGACAATTGATAAAGCGAGCGCAGCTCTGAGGGCATCCATGCTGTCGTCTAGTGTAAATACAGGTCGCACACGTGATGTCAGCATTTTTTTGTCGCGGAAAGTGACGTTGCGGACCTTAAAACTCCGGTTTTGTCTGTCCACACGCAGACACCCAAAACGGAGAAAACGCAGATCTTCACTTTGGCCAGAGTTTTTAAAAAGATCCGTTTTTGTGTGAAAAAACTCTGTTTTCGTGTGGATGACAGGCCAAAACGTAGAAAAATATCTACGTTTTGGCAGATCCCCAGCTACGTGTGGACAGGGCCAAAGTTTCAACCCTGCATCATCACACCTGATTTCAATCAGCAGGTGAGTAACAAGCTTCTGTAGAGCTTGATGAGCTGCAGAACAGGTGAACCAACAACTGAAACAGGAGTGTTGGAGCAAAGACATGCAGGATACCGGCCCTCGAGGACCAGGGTTCCCCACGCCTGTTTTAGATCAATGTGTTCTAATGAGCAAATTCATGAGTGCCATTAATAATTTGAACTTATAGAAGCCATCTTTTTAACAAGCTATTGCTGACTGAATGGTGGCAGACAACAATAGGAATTAATGTCAAATCAATGTATTGATCTAAATACAGTTAAACACGTCAGGAAGTATTTTATGCTTTGTATAAAACTAAATCCGATGCTAACTTTCTGTCATGGGAGTGGAAACAAGCTCTTAAAATATAATAAAAAATCGGTGATTAACCCCAACCCTAAATTACATGATAAAGTTGGTTCTTTTATTGATATTTAAGATAATGTTTAAGAACTGACTAATCCAAACCTTTCTGATTTCATAGTAGTCATGACTGGGTGAGTGTTTAATGAGGTAACAGGCATGAGTAGACACAGCTGGACTGAATCATGACAATAAGTGGAAAACTGTCAACAAGCCAAAACTTGCTGGTTACTCTCCTTCTCTGTGGCTTCTGAAGACCAAACCAGAGACGGGGAAGCTGTATCATTCTATAAGATTTTGTAGAACAATGGAACATTTGTAAAGAAAACTAGAAAGGACACAACTGACTGGTTTAAAAGACAAACATGAGTTCATCGATGAATTTGTTCAACTTCTTTTGCCAACCACTGAAAATTCTCCCACTGTTGATATTAACTTTTTACTAAAGTACTACTACTAGTTTATCTTGTTTTGTGTGAATCTGCTTTGTTTTCTTATACCTATGTGCTCATACTGTTGGAGGTTTCTTCCTGTTAAAGGGAATTTTCCTCTCCAATGTCGCTACACACTTGTTTAGTATGGGGATTGCTGTAAAGTCTCTGACACAAGTCAGTGACTTGATGCAATCTGCTGGGTTACCTTACATTGGGAACTTTTAACTCAGATTAATAAACTGAACTCTGTGCATTGATAAATTGGTTCAGTTGGAATGTTTGCTTTGTAAAATGCCTTGAGATGACTTGTTGTCAATTGGTGCTATAGTAATAAACTCAATTGGATTGCTTTATGGGTAGTTAAACAACTAACCAGACTGTATTTTATCATTAGCTAGGGAAGGAATTAGCTTTTGTGTGAAAATGTTTATTTTAACAGGAATTTAACATTGGGAGATAATTTTGTTGTTGTACAAAAAACAAAAATCTATTAAGGCCAAAGTGAAAACTAAATGTGCAGCAACAACTTGAGGTTGAAACATGATCAATCAACTTTTCAAAAGTTAAAAGTTGCTGTCTAATATGATTTATTATGACACATAAACAATGTAGAGATATGTCGCAATGTAAAAAACAACAATTAAAATCTGTAGGAACAAAGTTCATTCATCAAAATGCAAAGAAATTCAGGTTTTGTCCACGCATCCTTAGTACTTTTGCAGGAAAAATAATCCAGATTCCATTTGCTTTCTGTTGTTTTTTCATTTTAAATCCACAAAAATAAATAAAAATGTTTTACAATGGGCAAGCTGAGTATTTAAGTACCTCCACAAAGAGTTTCATGGAGAGGGTGTTGCAGCTTTTAATGCATCTCCAAACCCAACCAGAGCTTTTACTGTTGGTACCTTTTGTATTTTACCCATTTTATTTTTTTTAAATCACTACCTTTGTATGGATATTGTCAAAAATATACTTTAGTAGAAAAAGTTACTTTTTTAGAAAAAAAGGGAAAGTACTAAATAGTAAAGAAGCTATGGTACATTTTTACTTTTTGTCATCTTCGACTCCTATTGGCCTTGCGGTATTTTAACGTTATGATTTCTGCATTCTCATCTGAATGAAGGTGTTACATTTATTTAGCCTGACTAGCTAACCAGCTAACCACACCCCCTGAGAATTCTAACCGAGCCAGTCAGCGCTGAGCAGCGTACGTCACACACCACGACGCTGAGTTTCTCATAAACATGGTGACAGAAGCGTAGTTTGCTGCGGCTCTTTCCTCTGTTCTATATGACTTGAACACGTCTTTAAAATCACAACAAGTAGAAGCGCTAAAAGCCTTTCTTATAAAGAAATATGTTTGCGACGTCGCCATTTTTGACTACAGCTAAAAACTACAGCGTCGCGCGGTACAGTCGGCATTTAAGCCTTTTTTTCTGATTGGTTATTTTCGAGCTGGCTAGTCTCGCCTCTCATGTGCCTCTCTGCCTGTGAGTAACCAGACTAGTTCTCTGTGTAGAATTAATCAGAGGATGAGTCTGGCAGGTCAGGCTAATATTTATTTATACAGGATAACTGCTGATTAATGTCCTGGAATCTCAAGATATGAGAGTAAGTGGTTGGTAGTCTCATCATGAAATAACCCATTTTTATGATGGCTAGCTACAATGAATTCTTGTGTGTATTTTTTGTAGAAAAATGCCAAAATTTTCAGTAGTTTGGAACAATGCATGGCGAAAATGTTGGGTAATAAAAAAATTACCCAGTGGTTTCCGGCACAGTTACATGCTTGATTCTACCAAAACAAGTTCTGCTGCAATCTAACAACGCCATCCGCATAAATCAAGAAAGAAACTTTTACAGAATTGTGTGAAACCTGGATCCAAGAAACGGATGGACCAGGAAGCACTTAACCGCTGTACAATCATAAAAAGAAGAAGCTAAATAAAGTAAACAGACAAACAACAACAAAATGCACAAGGCACATTTGAATTTCCACAGGCGTAATTTTTGCAGTGGCATCTTTAGGTGAAACAAATGCCTCTACTCTTTCAAAAGGGAGTGCAAATCTTGCCTCTTTGGTAGACGGATGGAGGCTCAGAAGCCTTTAAGGAAAAACAGTGGTGCAAAAACAAGCATCAACGCGTTTTAGAGTTCCTTCTTGAAAAAATAAACCAAAAACGGTCCAAAAAAAAGGAAGAAAAAATAGAAATACGGAGTCCTCAAATGAACAAAAACAAAGGGGAAAATCACCAATGGCCATATCCAAAAACACACAGTTTAGAGACATTGCTACATCTGCTGGGTCTTGAGAGTCTAAACCTGAGAGTTATTTTGGTCATATAGGCGTCCTTGGGAGTACATGAGCCGTCCAATCAGGATGATCAGTAGGCTCACGCAGAGCATGGCGACTGGCTCCGGGTGGATGAGTGGCAAGAAATTCGGAGGGACGATATTTCGCCTCCGTGGGTCCTCCATCCTCTGGAATCACAACACAAAAACAAGACAAGAAGTTACAACAGCAACGGCAAACACATTTGTCAAGTAAAGGTGAACCAATGCTGTTTAATAAACTTCATCTGCTGCTTCATTTCCCCACCCAACGTTATCTTCCAGATCATAACTAGTCACAGGTTCAGTAGTTTCCACTAGTTTTTGCACGTGTTGTTGAGTGTGCAGAAATGTACAAGAAATGTTGATGAAAACACTTTCAGGTCTCTTGATGTTTGAAAATCATAGCGACACACATGATGCATGTTTACATCCACAGGAAGCAGGTAAGCATATATCTCAACATCCTGCCGCAGCTCACGTTTTACTCTCTCCCTCTCTGGCTGCCAGTGCATGTTTTAATGCACACGCGTGTCCGCGTGCACTAAAATGCTGTGAAACAGTAAAGTAACAAACGGTTTACTTTCATGCAAGTACACATAATGAAATAGTGTGGTGGTCGGAGGGATCGGTGGCGCCAGTGCTCGGAAGCCTCGCCTCTGTCAGTGCGCCCCAGGGCAGCTGTGGCTACATCGTAGCTCATCCCCACCAGTGTGTGAATGGATGAATGATACACTGTAGTGTAAAGTGCTTTGGAGTCCTCTGACTCTGAAAGGCACTATACAAGTGCGGGTCATTTATCATTTGTCTTTGTTTTGACCCTTACAGTTTCTCCACTCTCATTCAGGAAAAAAAAAATGGCTGTATTTTGACCAAAACAGGTGTTTTGTTTTCCACTGTTGTTGACAACTCTGTGCCTTGGCCTCAGTCCATAACTCCAGAAACCGTTTCCCTATAATGTAATACCTGCCTGTTTAACAGAAGACTGCAACTGGACATCAGGACAAGAACTGTCTGAAAATTTTACATTTTAAGAGTCATGGACTAAAGGTAAAATTATTTTAAAATGGTTTAGAAGACTGCTCTATACCCCTCAGATGTTAGTCGTCCCCCCCCCCCCCCCCCAAAAAAAAAACTGGAAGATCTAGATCCTAATTTGACATTCTCTCTCGATGCCGTGTGACAGGAAGGGCTGTGTGATACTATCCAGACAGAGGCTGACCCCAGCGTAAGTCGCCTGCCCCGGGTCGTGACCTCTCTCTGAAAAACAGGATCTTCCCGAATGAGAGTGAGGAAGGCATATCAAAGCTATGTGGTTTGATTCAAAAACCACAGAAAAGCTTCATGCCAGCAGAGGAAACAGGTGAGAGGAAGAACCTGTAATGAATGCTTCCAGTACTCATTCTCTCTGTGACCAAGTTCAACAAACTGGTCATGGATGATTCCCACCTTAACAGAGATAGGGTTCTATGTCTATGTAGTGTTTCAGTAAAAAGCTGTATTATTATTTTAAATAAGGTATTTTGACTAGTACAGGCCTTCTTATTGTTTCAAGTCTGAATCACAAAGCACATCGGGGAACTAAAGGCCCATCTGGAAAAGAAATTAATCCCGGCAGAGTGTGTGATACGATTCCTTCTCTTGGAGACAAATTTTCCCCTAGTATCTTCACCTTGTGAACTTTCAAACTTGAGTCAACATTTGAGGAGGACAACCACAGAGAGAGAGGATCATGGTTAGGACTGAGCTCTCAGCCGCCAACACTGGACCTGTTGTGTTTGGCTGTTGAATCAAGAGTAAACGCTTGATTTTTTGGCAATTTGCTTTCCTTTCCACAACCTCGACATCTTCTATCATTATGAATCATCATGGGTGTCAAGTGTAAAAGCTCAAATGATCGCCCATTAATGCAGCCTCAGCTTTTTTTAGGGAAGTCACAGACATTAAAATCTGGTATTGGACGGTCTGCTTTGTTTTGAAAGGCTTCGAACCTGATAAACAACTTTCGCAAAACTGATGAAGAGTTTAAGTGTGCCTGTTGGGATTTATTAGCTTATTTGGTATTCAGCTGTGCATCAAATCATTTTTTACATTCAAGCCGTAATCTATGCTGACAGCCGCTGAGGTTGTGAGCTTTAAATTGGAGGTTTTTTCTTACCTCACCAACCGCTGTAATAACTTCAGTGTCAAGATGGTCATGTTGGTGGATTATTGGAAGTCTGTTTGGCTTTTAAGTGATTTACTGGATTATACATCCATAAGAGTCTGCAAACAAGGGTGAATAACATCTTTGCTGTGAATTGAAAATGTCAGCAACATTAACACAGATATGTGGGCATGGCCTGTAGATCCGGGGGGTAAACAACGCGAGCCAATCCCAAAATGCTAGCCCCAATGTTTGGAGCTTGCTACGTGGTTTACCCCCCGGGTCACAGGAACTGACCGTTGACCCTAACCCTAACGGTCGACTTCACTTGCTGCCATCCCCCTAGTGGATGGCAGCAAGTGAAGTTGCTTCAACAGGACATTTCTGACTAAAACTTTAAATACACCTGATTTCCGAGTGTTGACTTTTTTTTTTATTCATGCAGTTCTGATTTTTGCTGAAGCGGGATAACATGTATGATTGAAAGCATCATTCACATCCTTAAAGTGCAGAATAGTTAAAAAAACATCATTTTATTTATTTATTTGGTCTTGTATTGCAGATGAATATTAAACGATTTTGAGAATCTTTTATTTGCTGTTTTGCTAATAGTTATGCTAAAATGCAAAAGCCAGACCATTACTGATTAGGTTCAGAACACATAATTCCCATACCAGTCCCTCCTTTGTAATCCAAAACACAACCAATTTAAAACTGAACTGAGCCAGTGAGTTATTAGAATGAATGGCTGTATTTCACAGTCAGGATGAGGTATCTGATTTTGTCCAAAACCGATGTACTTGTTGGCTGACAACTGGTAGGAAACAGAGAGAAATTAAGCCAAAGCCTGTTGCACCAAAAGCGTTTACTTTCCAATCGTTCACCCCAAGAGAATACTGAAGAATTATAGCATGCACTTGCACACACATTTCACAGTTTCCTCAACATTTACCTCAAATAACATTTTCCATAATCAGAGATTTAAACACCCGCTACCACAAATCCTTCCCCAGCTGTCAAGGCAAGCTTTCACTAAGTAGCTCAAGAAGAACACAATAATCTATCTCTGTGTGCTTTAGATACAGTATTTGAACACACTAGTTCCATTGGCTGTGATGCAATGGAGGAACAAGATGATAAACATGCAAAATAGTGCTGAATGACCACAGAACACGAGATAGAGCGAAAGGGATGTCATCCAGTTGGTTTACAAAGTAACTAGTCAACCAGAGAATCGATTTAGGTGAAATAGCAAACATGCAATTATGCAGTCAAACAATCACGGTGAGAAGGCCGTCTTGAGCATGGCTAAATTTGGATTTATATTGTACCTACATATTTTCAAGGAGCTCCAGTGTCTGACATTTTTGTTCAATATTCTTGTCTAGAAGGTGTTCCCCAAGGCCTTTTTCTCGGACCACTTTAAATAGTGATTGGTTCACATGATTTCTTGTCTTATGATTCAAATCTATCATTCTTGCAATATTAGCACTCAACATGGCTTTCCACTGGGTGTGTAACAGTTGTGTAACGCAATAGATGCGTTTTCACTGTGACCTCAGCAGAGCGTCATTTCCTACCAGGACCTTTTCAGACCTGCCATGGGAGCGAATGCATTCCATTCAGCTAGTCACGCAGATCACAAAATGACCAGTAAATTGCAAAATCACAACAGCGGTTCTCGTAACAACAAACAAAGAGTAAGAAAGCATCATAAAATCATGAAGGTCTTTGGTTTATTTGCTGTTCTTTTTACCTAGGCCACAGAGGTGTCCCAGGTAATGACATACTTTTTTTGTCTTTAAGCATTAGGAAATCTGCACATGCCATTTATTTTGAAAGATGCTTTACACTGCTCTCATGCCTGTGCCAATCTGAGCTGCTGAGCTTGAGGCGTTCTAAAAGTGTAATGCGTAAAAATTAGACCCAAAGCGTAAATTTGACAAAGTGCCAAAACACAATGTATCTGGCTGTTGGCTACGCATTACACTTAGCAGATGTTAAAGCTACAACAGCTAACCTGCAAGACAAGCTAGCTTAAAACAATTTTTTTCTTGAGTTTCCTAGCCAGTAAAAAAAAAAAAAAAACGATAATATGCAGTTGGCATTTGTCCAAAGAGACATCCACCTTGACTACTCTGTAATGTCCAGAAATGGTCAGTTTTCACCTACAGATTAACCTGTATGCCACCGGTCATCTACAGACCTGATTCTATTCTCCGAGGTGGATTTTACACTCCATCTTCCTAAAGCCCAGAAGGATACTGCAACCTTGTTGACATTTCAGGAGGAACACGTTGTCAGCCTGTGTTTCTAAACAAAGCCTTCTTTGATAACACCGCAGGAGTCCCACTCTCTTATTAAAGTGAACGTTTTCAAGAAATGAAATTAACAAATGTTATATGGATAATAATTCTGTTTTATTAATCTGTACTTAAATCAATAAGGTTGGTTGATCTGTGTTTGAATTATTGAAATGAAATATTATATTGAATGGTTTGTATATATGGTAATCAGTAATGTTTGATATGACAGTCACCCGCACTCAGACACAAGGACAAATTAAAGTTAAGTTAAACTCGTGACACATAGATATTTCTTTACCCCAGATCAGAGCATCTGGTACCTTAAGAAGACGTGAGGCCTGAGGTTTTCTTGGTAATATCCCTTAACGCTCCGATTGGCCAAGAATTCATAATATGAGAATATTAAAACAGAATCACTCTGGTGATTCAGTGAGTTGCATTCCAGCTTCCCATCATTCAGCATTTAGTTCTAGAGAGCACTTCGGAACGGCCATCCGGAGCGACACCTCTTTAACCCCGAGCATTTTTGGCAAACTGCCAAAACCCTGTTAAAAGCTGCCTACTGCTGACACAGCGAACGGTTCCTGCAGAACAAAGCTGATATTGTTCTGACTCCTTAAGAGTCCTTCGAGACGCAAAGTAGTTACAACCTGTCGTGACCTGGATATGACTCTGGACTGACCTGGTCACACTGCGGT